ATTGTATGATGGTAATTTCAGTCACATCTTCTATGTATACTCGTGATTTGTGCACTCTTGTATTGCAAATCATAATATAACCTGAAAACCACCTTGGGTATTCAGAGGGGTTTACAAAACAACCTCTCAGCCTTACAAAGCTCAGCTAAATAGTAGTTGGTACACAAATAGACTTCCCCCCTACAGTTCCAGCGCAGCTATTTCCATTGTAAACTTGAAATTTTGAACTACCCGTTGCCGAAACTCCACCATAGAAGCGATAAGCAGCAGAACACGCCATGGATGGTTTTACTGATTTGGCCCTGCCCTTCTTGCACAAGCCCAATTGGAACGACCAGTACTCCGCTCGGAGGCACACCTGGGATGGTGAGATGCAATGTGACCAAATTGCATGGAAGTTTTAGAGTGTATGAAAAAACGTCATTTGAGGAGTGTGGGAAAGAGGCAAGGGCCGGTAGACGTGTGTCCATTTGTGGAAGACATGTATGGAAAAGTAGAAGGATAACCGTCTCACAGAACCTTTGAGCGACCCAAAAGAAGATCTCATGCACGGGAACACAATGGCACAAATAATATTGTGCCCTGCAAATCACAATTTGCAGCCTGCTTTCCCGTCTCTCCCTCTTTCGCCACCCCCCCCCCCCCCCCCCCCCCCCCCCCTTTGTCTCTGGCCCAGTCCCCTCCCTCTCACAGCCCTCACCTGGACACCAATCTTGCTGCCAACAGCAGACGCAGATGGAGGGATGGTAGCAGAACAGGTAAGCCCAGGGTTATTGCGGTAGAGCTCCCGCCACGGGTTCACACTGGAATCCCCTTCTTGTGAGCCTGTGCTGGCCTTTTGAAGCAGCCGGTCGCACGTGTCTTGAGGAGTGAGCGTGCCGTATTTGACACACTCGGGAACTGTGAAGGCGAAGGCAGCACTGCGCTCGATGCACACGGACTGGCCGGCTTTGATGGGCTTGGAGCAGTCAAGGCCGGGGTTGAGCGTGGTGAGGTTGGTGAGAGGTAAGCCGACCTGTGTGCGGATGGATTCACAGGAGTCTCCCTGGAGGGTTGAGAGAGAGAGGTGTAGGGAGAGTGTGCTTGTAGGTTTCTCAGAGGTGATGGACGAGACGATGGTGCGATGACGGTGGATGATGATGCAATGATGTTGCAATTATGATGATGCCATGATATGATGGTGGAAAGATGATGCAATGATGATGCAGCGATGATGTGATAATGGTTCAAAAATGGTGCAACAATGTTGCGTGTGGTGTGCTGCATTGACTAGGTGAAGTAATTGAGAGTTTTCTGTGTGGTTGCGTGGCCAAGAGGGCAGCAGGTCCCACATTGGGAGCGGACAAAGGAGGGAGTGCACGGAGTGTGTGTGTTGTCCAGGAACCTCAAAAGCAGGTCCCACGTTGGGAGTGGCAAAACAAGGGGGTGCAGGGTGTGGGGAAAGTTTTGTGAGAAATCTGTAAGACTTTTCGAGAATTTCTCACGAAGGCTTTGTGCGTGGTTTTGAGGAGCATCAAAAGCAGGTCTTACAGTGAGGGTATAGAAGAAGGCAGTGCAGGGCATGGCAGGAGTACCATCCAGCTGAAGGACACTGCCCTTGGGCAATGGCTGGCTGCAATCAATGCCCTGCATTGGGGTTATCAGGTGCGCATGGATTAGATCTGCGAGGTGCTTACAAGGTGACCTTTGACTTTTGAGTCGGCTCAAAATACACCTCATGCATGAGATAACACGAGGTGCTCACCAGCCCCCTCTCCTTTTCAAGAGCAATGCTCACCTTTTTTTCTCGAGACTCCACATGTAGGGAAAGGCCCCCAGAGAGCAACGTTTTTACCTCGTTCTACTGATAAAAGCTGCCTTTTGGGGTTTTTTTTCAAAGGTGGCTTCGATTGTGAGGAAAAATCAAGTTTTAGCATCATAGTGAAATTTAACTCTGTATAGGGGGGTTTATTTAGAGCAAACCAGAACAGCCTCTTTACTCTCTCCTTGCCACAAAGTTCATACCATACAGAATAGAGCTTGCAAGCGCAATGAAGGGAGACCAGAAGATGTGGATGTTAAAGCTAAGAAGCCCATACATGGACGAGGACTCAACCTATCCCCACCTTTCTTTCCATCCCTCTTCACCCAATCCTTACTGCATTCTGGGAAGTGAGTTCATTCAAAGAGAGGCCAACAAGGGGATGAACATCCGAGCACAACCAGTTGTCTCCGCTGACTGTCATTGTGGTTGCTGTGGTGTTGGCTGCAGGCAGTGTTGGGATTGATTGACACATAGACATGGAGATAAGGTTTTAAGTCAACTAAAAACTCTGTCACTGTGGTGGCAGTGGTGTTGGCTGCATGCAGCATTGGGATGGGTGGACACAGAGACATCGAGAAAAGGTTTTGAGTTGACTAAAAACTCTATCCATTGTGGTGGCAGTGGTGTTGGCATGCTGGCTGCAGGAAGCATTGGGAGTGAGACAGAGGCATCAAGATAAGGAAAGAGGAAGGGGGGGTTTAGAGAAGCAGGAGAGAGCTCGAGTTGGGCCCTGTCATGCATACCACTCCAATCTGATTTCCTCCCATGTATAGCAATTCTGAGGCGCCTCGAGAAACAAGATTGTGCGTGCCATTCCCCCCTGATTTCCTCTCATGCATTGCAGCAAGTCCAGCCGGGATGCAACCGGAACGCAGAAGAGATTCAGATAAAGTAAACCGGCATACTCATCCGCTCCCACTTGGGCAAGAGTAGCATCATCGCCTCATTTGGATTGTAGGTGGGGAAGCATGTTTTGTCAACTCTGGAGATCTACGAAGATTGCAAGTGGGGCCCCCAAATTTAAGCCAGCATCCTCGCTATTAGCATCCTAATAGGTGACTCGGGTGTTATTATCACGTGGCTCGCAGGTGTGGTCCTCAAAATGCAACTAGCAAAGCATCACCTGGATCGCAGGTTGGAAAGCCGTCAACGGTTGTGCTTTGAACGTGGTTGGGAGGGCAGATGCAGGAGTAGGCGCCCTTGCCATCGTTGATGCATGCTCCCACGTAGCAGGGGTTCTTGAAGTATGACCCACACACGTCCACTGGCGGAGATGAGCAGGGGGATATGGTGGAGGAGAAAGAGGGAATGTGGCACGGGATTCAAAGCCATGGAAGTAAAAAGGCATATTTCCATGCCATTTCCGTGGATTTTGAAAACGTGGGAAGTCGAAGGCTAGTCACCACTTTGTCATACCTTCTCGCTTGCCTGTGCTAGTCACACCGTATTCATACAAAGAAAGAAAGAAACCCAGGCACAGTTCAGTCCACATGAGAGGATTTTCCATTCGACTCAAATCGCGGCTTTCTGTTCAGGGTGAGACCAATTTTGCAAACCCGCCCTTTTACCAGCAGCAAAACCTACCAACCAAAGCATCTTTGAAAAGTAAAAGTTACCATAAGCTGTTTCGAAATAGACTTAAAAGTGCGATCTTACCATAAGCACATGTGTTGGAACCATATCCATTCTCAACCTCCACAAACGGCTGTACAGTCGCATCAGGAATGATGCAGGTGCAGTTGTTGCCACCTCCGGTAGTGCTGGTGCAGTTGAACCGCCCGCATGGATTCATACTAGGCTGAGACCTCATATCTCCCTTGTAGCTGCTGTTCCCGCACTAGTCTCCTGGAACTGAAAACGGGAGATACATTTGGAAGGAAACGCAAAGCGATGGAAGTTGGAATTTCACAGCAAACAAACAAGCAAGTGTGGAGGGAAGACACTCCAGAGCGTTTGAGTAGATTTTGCCACTCTCAGACATTGAAGACACATGGCAGTCAGTCACTTTGAGACAGGCTTCAATTTACAGCTTGTGTTGTGTGGAGGACCCATTAAGAACGCCAGCAGCAGCAACTAAGCGACACCCACTGCATCTCTCACACACACACGGCACCTCAGACACCAGGAGAAGGGCATTATCACTGCAGCAGCATATCACCAATGCAGCGGCATATTACGAGCTCACACTCACTGTTGCTACCTCCTTGGACCTGGCTGAAAAAAATATAATCTTGAAGCTCTTGGGACGGAGAAGCTGGTCTGGTGCATCCAGTTGAGAAACCAAACAAGTGATCACTGGGCTGGCCAGGCTCAACTCGAAGTGGCCCAGCCGCTCAGCAATGAGTCGTATTTTGAGTCGACTCAAAATACAAACGGAGAAGCTGGTGCATCCAGTTGAGAAACCAAACAAGTGATCAATGGGCTGGTCAGGCTCAACTCGAAGATGGTCCAGCCGTTCAGCAATTTCGGCGCGGTGGGTCAGTCGGGCTCGACTCAAACGCTTCTATGTGGCTGCCACGTGACTCGGGTCTCGTGCGCTCTAGTTAAGACCAGACACCCCCTGGCATATTATATTAGCACGCATACGAACACATTTGTGGACTCTTCCTAAATTTTGACAATGGGGTAGATGCCTCACTCTTGATAATGGGGTAGATTCCAGGCAGCATGTTGATGCCACATACGCCATTCCCTCCCTGAATGTCCATGCGCATGTGGCCTCCCTTGCCCCACTCCTCTCCCCACGAGTTGCGGATGATCCAAAACGGAGGCGCAATGCGGTTCTGGCTGCCGTCGTCTCCTCTAATGAAGTAACCAATAACGAGTACAACGTGGTTGAGACTGCCAGTGTAGCAATCAGGATCCTGGTACTTAATTTTCTGAAGGAAGACAGGGGAAGAGCGTCCATAGAAGAGAGCAGAGGAGGCAAAGAAGCATAGTCAGGCACGAAGTGGAATTGGAAGTGATTGCAGCACTCCACAATGCTAGCCTGGCAGTTGTTTACCTACGTGAACACATAACTGTGAACACATGCACTACATCTTTGCGCTATGTTCACCACTTACAGGAAGACCACAAGACACGATTCTTATGCGCTACAAAAGCCGTCACAGAGCAGCTGCAATGCAACACATGCACTGTACCGAGAAAGAGCTGCAATGAATCACATATGAGTTGTCGTGTAAGTTGCAATGGCTCACATACTTACCGCATCGTACATCACAAACGTTCGAGCAGACGCCTCGATGTGAACCACCACTGGCTGCCGCTGCACTGCCAGCATGAGCCCCACATACCCCTTGAACTGCGCTCGCTCAAACGCCTGCACTGGGTACGTTGTTGCCTGCAGAGCACAGCACAGAGACCAGAAGTGCATATAGATTGTTGGGAGAAATTTTAAATGATAAAAACACAGACAGAATGAGCACCATATACCCTTAAAGATACCCCCACAAGAACCTATTGACCCGTGTAACGGCAAGCAAATCAAATGAAGAACAGTGAGAAACACCCTCCAAACTCCACACTCATAACTCTACCTTGCCTCACACACACCGACCGACTAATGGCCCGACTTATGAGGCGCCTCAAAGGCCGTATTCTGTTCCGCCTACCGGGTCGCTGGCCCCTGTGAGCCCACTGGAGGCATCGAGAGCTGTGAGCGTCTCAAAGGCCTCCGTGGGGGAGCCGCCAGCAGAGCACTTGTCGGAGTCGGAGAGCCCCATGAGGGCGAAGAGAGAGCCCACTGATAGCTGGGGCGCTGTGGCCCACTTTGCAATGCCGTATGCTGCTTCCACACTTGCCACCACCGCGTATGCCCAGCAAGCATCTGGGAAGAAGAAGAAGAAGAAGAAGAAGAAGATGATGAAGATGAAGAGAATTGGAAGCATTCAAAGAGGGTGGAGAAGGTATTATGAGGGCGGAGAGGAGATGTTAGGATGGAGAGGGCATATTTTGTATTGAAAAAAACAAACTACTGCAACAGCAACAGCTGACTGACAATGAAGTGCTGAGAAACATACAGCAGGAAATCGTGATTATTAATAATAATAATAATAATAATAAAAGAAAGTAACAACAACAACAATAATACATATAATCATATTTACTATTATTATTATAAACCATTCTTATTATTATTATTGGCACACAATACCACATGCATGCATGCAACAAATTAATAATTAGAAAACCTGTCCAAATCCTATGAGAAAACCCTTTTCCTGGGCAGTCCTCTTTCCACTTACTGCAGTCGTTCTGGTTCTTGACATGCCATTTGAGGAAGTCCACAGAGTCTCACGTGGTCAAGTCACTGATGTGTTTTGAGTCGACTCAAACACAATAACAGCCAGTAGCCCTCTTTCCACTCACTGCAGTCCTGCTGGTTCTTGACAGGCCACTTGAGGAAGTCCACAGAGTCCCACGTGGTCAAGTCACTGATTCTCCACGAGTCAGCTTTCGTGTTGGTAAACTCCAAGTCCGAGCTCACGTAGCGCGGAAACGGGCTCGCACGAGACGGTGCAAATGTGGCTTCTGATATTGAGAGGCCGAGGGCTGTGCGGGAAGGGAAGTGGTGGACAGGAAGAGGATGTGGACAGACAGGGAGTTGGGGTTTGAGTCGACTCAAAAGTCACCTCGTTTTGAGTCGACTCAAAGGCCGAGGGCTGTGCGGGAAGGGAAGTGGTGGACAGGAAGAGGATGTGGACAGACAGGGAGATGTGGTTGGGGAGTAGGGGGAGAGTGGGCAGTGAGTGAGCTGGCAGTGGGTGGTTGGTGGGGGGGCAGTGAGTTAACGGGCAGTGGGTGAGCGGGCATGCCTGTGCCGGCTGGCAATAACGCGGGGGGCCTGTGACCTTTCGTGGCACACGTTGCTGCCAGCCAAACAGCTGTTGCACTGCGGATTCAGCCTGCTTCAGGCAAGTTTGACTTTTGAGTCGACTCAAGAGTCAAATCGTTGTGGCAAACAGCTGCAGCAATGCCGAATGAGCCTGCTTCAGACAGAGGCTGTGCAGGTGCCAAAGGAATAGCAGCCACAGATCTGGAGCACCATCAACCTAACTGACTTTTGAGTCGACTCAAAAGTCAATAGCAGCCACAGCGCTGGAGCACCATCAACCCACAGAGCCGTGAGAACCCCAAGAGGCAACCTATAAGTGTCTAGAGAACTTCTAGATAAACATGGGGTTGAAGCTTTTTGGAGGTTGGGGGTTTAGGGAACACCATGACACCCGGACAGGATGAGGGCATAGTTCTGTCTGCTCGCTTGTTTGTTCTTGTCTCTGTTTCTTCTCATAATTTCCTGAACTAAGCCCGCCAGTCACGTGTCGGGCCCGTGGAATGGCCGGCCCAGGCAAGCCCCGTCCCGGCCCTTGCCATGTCTAGTACGAACCCGCTTCCTTCTTCACATCCTCCACTCCACAGCCCCCACTCTCTGAGAGTAATTTGATAGTTCTCAGGCAAACCTTTTTACATCCTCTAGAGGCCCCTCCTCAGGGACCTTCAGAGTGCCAAGCGGTAGGTAGGTAGGTAGGTCGTTACCTACCATATATGATTTGTGGGTCAACTAGAAAATCACGTACAGTTTAGCTAGCTTGCCTTGCCAGCATGCATAGGCTAGATGTCTTGGTGAGCTGGGCTATTGGCTTGCGGGGCTAATGGTTGGAGAATGGACGAGCCATGCCTGGCTGGCACTTTGGCGACTAGCACAGCTTGCCCCGCGGTGATGAGCTCCAATCCAGAGCACACTTCCAACCAAGCCACATCCAGCATTTCCCAGATGTTGCACCGCATGAGTGAGCCGACTTTGAGTTCTCATTATTTCTTATTAAAGCGAAAGACAGCCTGAGGTAATTTGGATTTGGTTGAGGGGCACATATGGTTTGGCAGTTGAACACACCTTGTCAGGTTTTACAATAAAAGAGGACAAGAAACGGTGGTTGAACGAGGAGCATTTCAAATTCTGGCTGCCACTGTGCCACGGGTCAGAGAAAGCTCACCTTGATCCCGGACCGGAAGTGGCTTGGGGTTGGTTGACCTAAAGCCTGTAGTTCGAGGAAAAAGATAAGGGACTTATTACAAGATCATGATTGAGTCTTGAAACCCAGAGCGAAGAAAAAGATAAGCAGGGTAGTAATGTCAAGTCAAGAGAGATCGTACGTATTAGCTACCCCTAGTCAGGTCCACATGAACTAATGATGACACGGATTAGCACAGCGCCACTAATTACCTCCAACTGACACATCCCAGACAGTGCTTACACAATTGTTGGGGCTACGTCCAGTATTGCCCAGAATTTTCTCTCGTGCTTATTGCTTTGCATTGCATCCAATACTGCCATGACACCACCGCCATTAACACTGTCAACCACCACCGACTCACCTTTCTTTCAAATCCGTTTAGCATCATCCTTTCAACAGCAGCAGCAGCAGCAGCAGCAGCAGCAGCAGCAGCAGCATGAACATGGTAAAACAACTGGAGCCGCTGCTTCCACCACCTCCACCACCCCCGACCCCACCACACCCTCCCACATTACCATCCACATCCACACCCCCACCCTTGAGCTACGACCCTCTCATCATTCAGGCAGTCACAGCCACCTCCCTCACCCCACGTTTTGATATCCTTGCCTGTCTGCACAGAGGAGAAGAGAATGCCAAGCAGCTGGAAGGGCTTCACAGCAGTGGACGCCACGAACCCAAACGAGAACGCCTGCTGCTGCACCCCACCCTGGAGCACCGCACACAGCGACAGTCTCTCCTGCTGCAGCGGCTGCTCTGGCTTTGCATCAGCACCAGCCAGAAACACACGTATACGCCCCTCCGTGCCGGGATCCCCAGGCTCATAGTCCACCCACACCTTATATGCATAGCCATCGGTGAGTGTGAATGGCGATGGTTCCGACAATATAGGCTCCTGCCCCCCATTGGTATTCAGGCCCACATTCTGGTTGCTTCCATCCATGTTAAAAACCACAGCTATGCTTCCATTCCCCACTCCTCCGTACCCCACTCGGGCCGCGGTCCCTGCCTTGGCCTTTGCTGCGATCACAAAAGCAAAGCTGCTGGGTCCAGTAGAGCCAGACTGGGGCATGAGAGCGAAGGTGAAGTTGACACTGAATGCCAACTCCAAGCCACATCCCGGGGTTGCGCCATTCGGGAATGCAAACAGGGTCACTGGCTTTGCTATGAACTTCCCCACTGCCTCCTGCTGAATCCCCTTGGTGAGGATAGTGAATGGCGGGAGGATATCGATCGGCAGGGTTTGGATCCAGCCTGGGAAGGTTGTGAGGGAGGGGCGGCAGAGCATGGGAAGGGTGGGGGTGGTTGAGCATTAAAGTGTTTTTCTAGTCGAATCAGAAGTCAGAGTATGGGGGAGGAGGGAGGGAGTGATTAGCAATGGCGCTTTGAGCTGATATAGGGGGTAGAAAGGAGGGTTCATGAGACCCCCATACAGGAGCCATGACTCGCGTGGCAGCAGCTTTTAGCAAACAGTTTTATAGTTTGGTTTAGTGTAGGCTTGCTTGAAAACCTTTGTGTAAAGAAAGTTGGCGGTAACTAGTTTCGGCACTTCGAGCCTTCTTCAGACCACAGGTTCAAATGAGAAGCGAGCTAGGTTAAATACCAACCCCTAGGGCTCAATCGCGAGGCGTTCCTTCGCGTGGCCAGGGAAGGTGGGGGAAAGCTAGATGAAAACAGTAGAAAACAAATCTACGGTAAACCAGCACTTGAGCTGAAATTGAATAATTACCAACTCGTTTTGGTAAACTCCAAGCGAGACTAGCCCTGCGTGTAGAAAACGTACTGTGTGACATTATACCGAATTGACCTTTGAGTCGACTCAAGAGTCAACTCGTGAACTAATATCATTTGGTCAGGTCGTAGGAGGAAGGGTCCATGGATAAGGTTTCCATGAATACGAGTGTTATGAATAAGAATACTTTCATGAATTTGCTATTGTGCTTCATCCTCACAGTTTACAGTAGCCATCAAGCCATAATTAGTGGAAGAATAACTTACTTGCTGCGATACAGTTGGTTCCCTCATACTGCACAGAGCCGGGATTACAGGAGCACGTGGGCACCAGGCTAGGCCCCTCTGGGTAGCACACGCCACGGCCACCACAGGCAGCAGTGGTGTTGGAGATGCCACAAAACGCCGAGCACTGTGCTCCGGGCCGCTGTGTGTCCGGGCGGCAGGCTTTGTTCTGTGTGAAGCAGTTGGCGGTGATGGTGTAGCGAAGGCAGTCTGGGCCGGGCACAGCACCCGACAGGTAGTTGTTTGAGAGATCTACTGGGATGGGAGGGAGCTTTACAAGCGGACCTGTGAGGTAGTTGTGGGAGAGATCACTGGTGTGTGGTGGGGTGGGTGGGGTAGGAGGATTCGGATTTGAATGTTTTGAGATGATGAGGAAAACTGTTTTTTAAGTGTGTGAAGCATTATTTGCGTTGCCAGCCGGGCCTGCAATTGCCACAAAACCGTTGCTATCGGCGATGTGAAACGAGTTGCCACACCATGCTTTTGAGTTAAGTTGCCATAATAACCATCCTCCACACCGTGTGCTTCTATTAGTTTGCCACTGTGCACAAAGGCCTCGCCTCAAGTGCAGGAACGGTGAGTGAGTATGTGGCAGATAGAGTGGGACGTGGAGTGAACAGAAGTGTGCATAGACACTTACACATGATACGACAAAGCAACAACACCACGGCGGGTGAAACGTGCGAATGCGTCTTGCATCGTCATACCAAGAAGCGAGCGCTTTCATTTTGCCAAGAATGGAAGGCAAGCTTCCATATAGCTGGTTGTCGGCGAGTGACCTGACGAATGAACCATTGTGAATGGGGAGGAGTGGAAACAGAGGTGGGCAGGCAGGCTGAAAGGAAGCAAAACAGACATTACATAGGACTCACATAGGGAGTGATGTTCAAGGAACATGGGGGTTCGAAGTGAGGGGAGTTGGGAGTGAGAGCACAAGACCATGGAATCTCTTCATTCTGAGAGATAGATTAAGTGGTACCTACAGAGTAATAGAAACTCAACCAAATTTTGCACTGTGAGAGACGGGACACGTGTCAAGCCATGTGTGTTGAATTACAGTTGGCCTAGGCGAGTCATCTTGCCGATCGTCGAAGGAATCGTTCCGGTAAGACGATTGCTACCAAGTCTCCTGAGGGAACAACAGAGCATCCACACAGTGAAGTGAACAATATCGAATTCAGAAAACAAACAACACAGCATCTGCAAAGAGAACAACACAATACCCACAGAGAGAACGCAGTATTTACAAAGAATACACAGAATTGCTCAGAGCAAAACAGGGTGTGCTTGGTATGCAGATTCCTACGGAACACCAACAGAAGGCATGAAGCATGGAGGTATGGAGACATGCAGACACGTCGAAAGAGGGACATGCCTCTGTAATGGAGTTGCTTTTGAGCATTCTCAACTCAGTATTGACTTAGCCATTGGTAGAATGAAGCGAAGCTGGAAAGGCAAGAGAGACAACTCAGCACCACCGCAAAGCGAGGCCATCACTCACAATGACCAAAGGGTGGAGAGTTTGCTGATTGATGAAGGGATGGATCCAGTGAGTCGGTTCATGTGCATGTACCTGCGTAGATGCATGCAGCCATGCACATGGTGACATGGCACATGGCAAAAAATGCAGGGCCAATTTTTTTATGGCTGCTGAGAAGGCGCGAACGAAGAGGCTGCATGCAAGGGGACGAGCCAAAAGCACTGGTTGCTTCCTAAGAAGAAAAAACGATAGTGAAACAGAGGGGATTCAAAGGATGGTCAAGGATTTGAAGTCTGGGGGGGCGGGGGTGGGGGGGGGGGGGGGGGGGGGGGGGGGGAGGTGGGAGGAGAAGGGGAGGGGTTCCGATCTTACAGTTTTGCAGGAGAAGAAAGAGCACAGATGCTCTCTGATAGATCGCCTTCCAACTCGTTGCTTTCTAGAGAGCTGTGACACAGTGGGTCGCAACAAGGGAAGAAAGGGACATGAGAGACTCTCAGACACATGCAGAGATTTGTGGAGAAGACTTTGGATGGCGATAGGTAGAGTAGATTTCGGATAGAGTGCACATACATTAGCAGAAAGGAGTGGCAAGGGAAGGCATTTTTTAGGCGCCTCTGAATCAGATTCATGAAGCGTATTGTAGATGGAGTGCGATTTAGCAGGATAGAAAGGATGTGCATAAAGATGAGAATCACTGTCTGCCAAGAGCCTAGCAGGTTATGTGGAAGGAAATTGAGGTTTATGGAGGGTTTTTGGAGAGAGGCAGAGGCATACCAGTACTGGGTTGATACTGAGTTGTGTCAATTTTTCAGCAGGTGTTTTTCTTTATTATTTTCAACTGACACACCTGCAACAACAAGGTTCCTTGAGTTGAGGTGCCTCAAAACAAAATTAAAGGCAGAGGCACAGCGAAACGGGAGCACAGACAGAGTGCTGAGTTGAGTCAGTAAGCTGATGGAGGGAGGAATGGGTCCTGTCAACCGATTGCTGCCAAGATACCTGTGAAGCACCACCGGGGAGGAGGCTTGAAAAACAAAATGAGATTTTGGACGTCTCTAAACTATATTCCTGCTAAGATATTTGTCAAGCACGGGGGAGGAGGCTTGAAGGAGACATGAAGGAAAGGGGAGTGGAGCGTGAGCAGTTAGGAGAAGGATGACATGAGATGGGTGGGAGGTGGAAGAAACAGTATGTCAAAGCATGGAGGATGCATGCATGACCATGCCAGAGCATGCCAGACCATGCTAGACCATGCCAGCCAGACTATGCCAGGCTCTTCCAGACTATGCCAGGCTCTTCCAGACTATGCCAGGCTCTTCCAGAATATGCCAGGCTCTTCCAGACTATGCCAGGCTCTTCCAGACTATGCCAGGCTCTTCCAGACTATGCCAGGCTCTTCCAGACTATGCCAGGCTCTTCCAGACTATGCCAGGCTCTTCCAGAATATGCCAGGCTCTTCCAGACTATGCCAGGCTCTTCCAGACTATGCCAGGCTCTTCCAGACTATGCCAGGCTCTTCCAGACTATGCCAGGCTCTTCCAGAATATGCCAGGCTCTTCCAGACTATGCCAGGCTCTTCCAGACTATGCCAGGCTCTTCCAGACTATGCCAGGCTCTTCCAGAATATGCCAGGCTCTTCCAGACTATGCCAGGCTCTTCCAGACTATGCCAGGCTCTTCCAGACTATGCCAGGCTCTTCCAGACTATGCCAGGCTCTTCCAGACTATGCCAGGCTCTTCCAGACTATGCCAGGCTCTTCCAGACTATGCCAGGCTCTTCCAGACTATGCCAGGCTCTTCCAGACTATGCCAGGCTCTTCCAGACTATGCCAGGCTCTTCCAGACTGTGCACGATTAGTGTAATGCGAATGGGATGGATACATCTTGCAAGCGGATACAGCAACACGGGATCATGTCTTCACAAGATGTCTTCTTCCATGCCATCATTTCAATTGCCCCAATCTTTGAGCCCAGCTGGGAATCGAACCCTGGACTATAGACAGACAGCAGAGTGTGGCATCAATTTCTCTTGCCAAAAATGATGTCAGAATTGGTGTGTGAGAAGAGTGCAGGATATGCATGTCTGCTGAGAAGTTCTCGTTCACACACTATTACAGCATGTTCTCGTTCTGCACCCACAGATTACAATCTAATGAAGTTTTACTCCACAGCCCGAAGCAATCGGACGACGACTCGTGGCATGAACGGATAAGTCTCCACACACATGACCCTTGTAGGGGGGTTTACAGGTAAGAGATAGCTGCCAGATTGCCGATTCCACTAGGGATTGAGCCGGTGAGCTGATTTATTTCAAGATTTCTGCAAAAACAACAAACACGAATGGACGTGTGTAGAACCATTGAGCTCAAGTCTGCGTGGGAACGAGCTGTAGAGATAGGATTGCTTCCACGAATCTTCAAAGGTGAAACAAGTAGAGCAGCTCCCTCAAGGGGTTGACTTATTGGAATGTTATTAAAGCAAAAGGGCAGTGTGCAATGGATGTTGCCCCTGTGATGTGTGAAGGAGTGGATTAGGAAGGAATGGTTGAGTTGAGGATAGAAGACGTGAAGAGAGTGGGTTTTGACGCTTGTCCCAATTTGGAATCTCGGGTCACACATAGAATGAGGCTGTGAGGAAGAATGCTTGGGAGATGGAAGAAGTGATTGGGAAGAGTCCAGACATAGGCGGAATGGGAGAAGGGCAGCAAAGAAATGAGAGGTGAGGGAGATGAAATAGCATGCGAATTCAATGAAGCGAAAGAGGATAGGTTGCAAAGCGAGAGGAAAATCAGGGACGAATGGTTGTGTTACGATTGAAAGGGACCGGAAGGAGGGAAAGCAGGAGTAGGAGAGGAGGAAAAATGGCAGGGCAAAGGTTGGATTCGATCTGCACATGGAAAATCTGAGTAGACAGCGAGCAAGTGCGTTAAGAGGAGTAAACAGTTGCAAAAGAGAAGCTGGGGTGGAAAGTTCGAAGAGGAGGAGCAGCGTTTGGAGCACATGTCCAAGCAAACGGCCTCACAGACGTGTCAATTTTGTGAGGTTGCCGAGTCCGGACGGGATTGTGCCAGAGAGCTCGTTTTCATTGAGATATCTGTGATGGTGACCGGTGGGATAGGATGGGTACATGGTACATCACACTAGGAGATGTTCAGGGGTTTATTTAAGGGGAAGGCAGCAGATATGAGCTGGTTTTTTAGAATTCTAAAAAACAAACTCAAAAACCAGCTAGGATGGGTACGTACATGATGCATCACAATGAGATATTCAGGGGTTTATTCATGGAGACGACAGCGGATACACATCTTACCCTGTGAGGAGCAAGCAAGAGCGAAGATTGATATAGACTGCATGATGGTGACCTGACCAGGGCTCCAAAGAGATGCTTATTACCGAGACGAGTAGCTGGCTGGTAGGCAAAACAAGGCTCTACCTACCAAGCAAGCATGTAGTAAACGTGTACCCAGCATGCACACACACGGGCAGTAAAAGGTTTTCCTTGCTCTAAGAACCGAAGTGAACCCTACCATGAGCCGCGCGGAACTTGCTAATTGACATGCCTTTACCTGAGACGACGAGGGTCTCCAAACCCCGACAAGAAGGTAAAAAAATAGTGCCGATCTCCAGAACCCCCTTCTTAAACTGGGAGACAGCTTAGTCTCTTCGGAATCTGCGGAACTTCTGAAGGACCTTCGCTTCTTGCTAGAGCTCAGTGCCGCTTGATACCACACCATTGTTGATACATATATATATAGAGTGTGCTCGAGTCAGATACACAGAACTTCCACCCTGCTCTGATTAGCCATTCATAGATTCTGCACATTACCATCAGGAACCCTGGCAATGCTTTGTGCCAAAGTTGCTGGGAGTAGCGAAACCTGCCTTGCAACTCCATATTATGCGGCCCCATAACAAGTGCTACACCTCGCTCCATCAAATAACATATGCACCAAGTGGGTAGCCTACTCAAGTTTTTTGGACACCAGGTTAACCTCGAGAGAACATGCATAGACAAGCCACCTCTCGTCTCGAACCTGCCCACACAAACAGGATGACCCCGACTTGCAATTGCAACGAGCCACGTCTATTTCTTCTACATTTTTGGCAGGAAGTGCACAATGTATATTGCAGTTGCGGCTGGCGGTAGGTAGATGGTCGGTCCATGTGGTACGTGTGGTGTGGCCCACACATTGCCTCACGGAGGAGGGGAGAAAGAACGGATTGAATTATGTGGCTCGGAGAAGGTTGGAGTGAGGCAGAAAGGAGGAAGAGAGTTTTAAGAGGAGGTGAAGGAATTGCATTCTGAGAGTTCTCAGAAGTGGCACAGCCATGCAGAGAGGCCTTACATTTGAATAACGTTCACAAGATTGGCAATTGAAGAAGGGATTGGGCCAGTGAGCTGGTTTGATTCAAGTCCTCTGAAACAATCAACGCAAATGGGCATGTGGTAGGTAAGATACCGGGGGGAAGGTTTGGAACTTATTCAAACTCTACTACACTAATCAGAAACAAAAAGACAAGGCGATGGCATTACTCTCCTTAACAATCAGCACGCAGGGGGGCTAGTGAAAATGTGGTTAACCCGGTTGCCGTGTATGCATGTGTGCAGGGGCATGTGTGCAGTCACTGCTGTGGAGTAGGTGCCCTCATCCCAAGCCCTCAAATCACATGTATCCTACGATCCACAATTATACATCTTGAGTGGTGTGCACGCTCTTAATACGGAATATTCAAATACAGCAAAAGAGAGGGTGGTGGTAAGCGAGGTGAGACTGATGCAACGGCATCATGTCAACAAAAAGCATGGGTGCGGTGTGGCATCAAGAGGAGGAAAAACTGTGGAGAGGAGAGGCGCAAGGGAGAACACATTATACAACAAGCAAAGGCCTTCTCGGTGGCCTCACAGGTATTGCAGCTTTGTAAGACTCCCTAATGCAACTGGGATTGAGTCGCTGAGCCGATTGTTTGCAAGGTCTCTGTGACAATATACATGAATGGACATGTGGTAGATATAGGGAGGGAGCTCAATTTTGCATGGAAACTAAGAGGGAATAAAAATGAAGGCAGTGCAGTGGCAATGTCCCTGAAATAAGTGCAGATAACTTCTTAGACATCTCAAAATGTGTTTGCAGAAAACAGCATGGAGAATGTGTTTGCCGAATACAGCAGGGAACATGCGTCCATAAAACAGGAGGAAAAGTACAGGGGAAGGAAAAGTGACAAAACAAAGGTGCAATACGGATGCGCCACGGCATGTCATCCACACATAGGATGGGCGATTCCAGCTGGAGTTTTCAGGATACGGCTCGTCACAGGCCCGAACCGGCCCTACGCGTCACAATGATGGCTGGGGAGGCCCGGCACAGGCTCGGCCCGGACCGACCCATGACCATCCATACTATTTGCCGATTGGTAACACTTACATGAGCTGAGTGCGAGAAATATTTGTATTCTGTGCTTTATTTTGTACTTATGACCTTGTGCTGGTAGTTATGGAGTATGTACGCTTGCTACTTGACTGTGTGCGTGTGTGGCCTTGCGCCAGATATGAATGATTCAACCTGTCCACTCTCTTTGCTACTGGGCACACCAGGGGAGTGACCAGCGACTCTCTCAGTAACTAGAATGCCTCGAATCTGACATATAGAAATTCAAGTATTTCATCCTGTTCTTGTGCACTATACAAGAGAAGTTGGTGGTGGTAAGTGTAATGAAGAGGAGGGTAGTGAAATGGAGGAGAGTTGAGAGGAAGGGTGTGGAGAAGAGTGGCTGCCAGCCACAGAAGCAGGAGAGAAAGAGTGGAGAGGAGGAGCATAGATTGAGCGATGCAACAAATGAGAGAGTCATTACATGAAGTAAAGGTTTGTGAGATGGTCGATTTCAGCAGGGATAGAGCCAGTGAGCTGATTTTGTTGGAGATAACTGCGATGACAAAACACATGAATGGGTATGGGGTAGAAAATGAGAGCTCAAGTCTGCTTCAAGGAAGTGGACATGGGTTGTTGCAAATTTTAATTAGGGTTTAGGAAATTCTCCCTAGAATGTGGTAGAAACGAAGAGAATGGCATCATTTTCCCGGTGACATGGGTAGAACATGGGTAGGACATGGGTAGGACATGGGTAGGACATGGGTAGGACATGGGTAGGACATGCCCGAGGCATGTCACCCACACACAGAATGGGTGCGGGAAGGAGTGCATGGCAAAGGGGAGTGGAGGAACAAAGGCGAAAACGCACAACAGAGCAGTCGCGTCTTACAGATATCTCAGACTCGTTAGATTGCCGATTACAGAAGGAATTGCACCAGTGAGCTTATTCCCTTTGAGAGATCTGTGACAACAAACACCGAGCACCTGTGCAAGTTAGTCACGAGCACAGGTCAGACCGAACCGCGTAGAACCGGCTTGGTAGTCGAACCGAACCTGAAACTGTTTCGGGCCAAACCAGCTGATAAGCAAGCCGGTGCTTGGCTTGGCGTGTCCATACTGGTCTAACCAGTTTGAGTTTGGTTCAACCCAGACTGTAACGGCTTCCCGTTTGGGAATGTTCAAGTCAAGTAACACATGTTTGTAAGGACAAAATCAGTTCAGATGGTGAAGAATGCCAGGAATGTTAACGAAGGAAATTGGAGATAGAAGAATAGCTCTAACTCACCAAAAAATTGGTTCCTTCCATCCACCAAACCCGTTCAAATAAATTGGCAACCTTTTCCCATGCCAAAGCCTCATTTTTTCACCTTCCGATGTCTTTCAGCTTACTTCTCAAAGTCTGCACATCTCCCCTGGTTCTTCAACGCTTTTCTTACATCTCTATTTAATGAGCATGGATGGAGATTTGCCGCCCCTACCTTATCCGATCCAAATTTCCCAAGTGATCCAACCAATCAGCAAGCATACTTGCCCGCCCTGCCCCTTAAAAGATACTTCGTGCCACTTTCTTTCCTTTGATTTCAATCAAATCAAACCTCATGACTAACACATACAAGCTTCTCAGGTCTGTAAGAGTGCCAATTGCAGGGGGAATCGAACCAGTGAGCTCGCCCCAATTAATGTCTCTGCAAAGATGAAACACGGATGGTGCCATATATCAGTTCAGAAAGTTATGTTTGCAGAAAAATGAGGAGACAAACGATTGGTGTAGACAAGGGCAGGAGAAGTGAGGGCGGAATGGGGTGAGCGCGGAGAAGGGGAGAAGGACAGAAGAAGAGGGGGGAGAGTGAGGAGGTGGGGAAAAGAGAGATATCGAAAACAGGGTAGGAAATAAAGAAGTGTAAGAAAAGGCGGTAGGGGGGAAAATAATGTAACAGGTCCTAGAGCATGGATACTTTGAGGGGGAGGACAAGAGGAATGAGAGGAAGGATCACAAGGCAACAACAGAGATTACAGGAATGGTATATAGGCGAGGAGAGGAAAGTAGAGCAGTTGAGCAAAGCAAAGTACGAGAAGATGAGAAGAGTGAAGCGGAGGGTAAGCGAAAGGCCATACACCAACTCCAATGGTACGCCAGGCAGCATCAACAGCAGCATCAGTATCAGCACCATTTGCTGTTAAATAGCTGTTGGCAGTAGTGGAAATAGTGCAGGACTGATTCTGCAGGACCGATTCTGCTGGACCGATTCTGCTGGACCGATTCTGCTGGACCGACTCAGCGTGAGATCCTAATGTAACAGCCAGATTCCTTAGCCAATGGTTCCAATACAACAGGGGAACAGCCAGATCCCCACAGTACAAAGGTAGTACTAGCACTAGGAAAACGTCAATAAAACTAGCAACTTAGAATGTTACAGATTGGACAGTTGTATATCGCAAGGATTTGACTCCAGTTTTAAGAACCACGGTCCAGGTAAGCAAGTACCGAAGTGCACACAGCAGAAAAAGGTGCATGGATGGATGGAGAGGGTAACGATAGATGGAATCGAAGGGATAGGCGAAGCAGGTAGTGGTTAGAAGCAGGGAGGTAAGGGGCAGAGATTTGGGCGAGAAAATGCATCGGACAACAAAGCAGGAGGGCCTTACAGTCTCTGAAGTTTTGACAGGTTGCTGATTCCAGATGGGATTGAGCCGGTGATTGTGGACATGTGGATAAAGCTGTGATGATAAGCAACACAAACGAACCACGTATGATAGAAGAGAGAGCGCAAAAGAGAAGATCGAGTTGGTATGCAAAAAGGAGAGGTAGATACTATATAAGGAGCAGCTACACTAGTAGAGCAAATGGAAAGAAAGAAAGAAATGGAAACAAAGCGCGGGTGAGAGGGTAGAGAGGGGAGACGGTGAAAGGAAGGGAGGGAGAAGGTAGTAGGTGAGTAGGAACGGAAGGAAAGTAGGAGAGGGGACCAGAAAACAGTGGTGGAAGGAATGACAGGGAGAGGTATATTGAAATTGAGAGGATGAGAACAAGGTGGAAATGAGAGGACTAGCAGAAGAAAGAAAACAGGCGATGATATGACAGCTGAAAATGGAATAGGAGAGGAGTCTGATCATATCAGACGATGCAACATCTGAGGGCCTGGTCTGGTGGAGACAAGACCTGAACAGGTAAGATGACATGAGATGTGGGGAGAAGAGAGGGGCTGTATAAAGATATATCTTTTGGCAGCATGGAAATCCGTTGCCTTATGGTACCTACCCCTCATGCTCGCGTCTTCTCAGGTAATCATATTCCCTCTCACGTGCTTCACCGCACAGCACACCTCCCATACCTGACGCCTCTCTCTCCTTCCACCCCTTCCCCTTCTTTCTCTCTCTTTCTCTTATTGAACTCGCCAATTTAATCCGCTCTTCTCCAGCCTTCTGGCGTTTCTCTTCTCGCATCCCTCCCACTCCACCAAACGACTCCTCAAACCTTCTCTGCGCGGCTTTACGAGCCAAATGCAGTGGGCCCTTGCATGCAGGCAGGCAGGCAGACAGGCGGGCAGGCAGGCGGGCAGGCAGGCAGGCGGGCAGGCAGCAGGCGGGCAGGCAGGCAGGCAAGCGGACGGGTGGGTGGACGCAGGCAGGCAGGCACGGGGGGTTGCAGAGGACGTACAGTCCTACGAGCTGGTCGAGGTTGCTGATGGAGTCCGGAATGGGCCCTCCTAGCTTGAGACCGACTAACGACCTGCATCCAAGTGCAACATATGCATCCAAGTGCAACATATGCATCCAAGTGCAACATATGCATCCAAGTGCAACATATGCATCCAAGTGCAACATATGCATCCAAGTGCAACATATGCATCCAAGTGCAACATATGCATCCAAGTGCAACATATGCATCCAAGTGCAACATATGCATCCAATTGCAACACATGCATCCAAGTGCAACACATGCATCCAAGTGCAACACATGCATCCAAGTGCAACACATGCATCCAAGTGCAACACATGCACCCGCACTCAAGTCAAGTTCACCCAGACGAACCCAAATATAGACAAATGCACCCAAGTGCACCAAAATGTATCCAGAAGCACGCAAATCCACCCCGACGTGCCCATATGCACGTAACATGCAGCCACATGGCTACCATCAACCAAAAGCATCAAATAAGCAGTGTCACTACAGCATCAGCGGCGGCTGTAGTACACTTCATGGCATGAGAACACTGCGGTCATCACGGTTAAGTGCAGTTCGAATCTTACAGCGGCATTCGCCATGAGTGAGTGCGGATCGGGTCTCACAATTGAGTTATCATCCCGTTGATGTCCCACTTGATGTTTTCTGAGGCACTGGCGCAATCAGGATTGGAGCCCCATCCTGGCAGCGTCTGACCCCATGCTGTCTGGCAGTCCTGCAGAAAATGAGCTGTGGGTGGTGGCGAGGGAGGAAGGGAGGAGGGCGAGGGAGGAAGGGAGGAGGGCGAGGGAGGGGAAGGGGGGAGAGGGGGGGCAATGGGGGGGAAGGGTGGGGGGCGGGCGAGGGTTGGGGCGGGAAAAGAGGGAAGAGTTTTGGGTGGGTTTAGGGCCGGAAGGGGGTGTTGAGGGTGTGTCTCCAAAATGTGACCCAGCGGCTTTCAAATTCCCCTAACTGTTCAAGAGTTTTTTGGCTACTAAATGGTCAGAACCTATCCAAAAGCTCACCCACCAAAAGTCTGTCCAAAAAGCGTTGACTTGACAGCATTATGCGGAAGGTAGGGGGATCGATGCTTGCCAGGTGCATTACAATATGGGAAGAAACAAGAACCCTGATTTTTTTTTCTTTTTTTCTTCTTTTTTTTTTAGCGTCTGGCTCAGGGGAAGAGGTGGAAAATGGGAGTGGGATCATGTGGTGTGGGAGTGGGGAAATGTTGCTGTCCCGAATCTGTCTGAATCTGTCTACTAGACTAAGTTTTAGAACCTATCCTTATAAATGTCTTAGAGGATACGTCTTGTTCACATTTGTGAACCCTAGAGTCACAAGGCGCGGCCTTTTGGGAGACTTTTGAGATAGCCAAGTCCGTCAACTCAATCTTATGCAAGTCATTCGATGTCTTTATGATCATCCTACGTGCACGATCATGCAAACCATACGCCGCCACCTTGCGAGGCCGCGAGCGGCTGGGATTGGACCACGGGGAAGAGGTGCGTTGCGGCACAGACCGCAAGTATGACAGCGAGGTGGCATGAAAACGCAGCTGCACTCGCCATCCGACTCGCAATCACGTAGTCGACTCGTAGAGTCTCCCTTTCCGGCTTAGTACAAAGATGGCGCTGGTACGAAACGAGGTCGGGAATATGGAAATCGGCCCGAAACGTCTAAAATCGCGTGCCACCACTATCTCGGTCACCGAGCACGAACTCCTTGAAGGAGTGCGTCCATCCGTGCGAAAAGCTATTCTTTCGTCGAATCGTTTCACTTTCGTCGTCATTCTCGCCGTTATTGTCCATTGCACAAGCTAACCTCGCAAGCCTCGCACAGTGTCGTGTGTTGATCTTCTTTGCTTTCTCAGCAAAGTGCAACGGAAAGTCAATGAGGTCATTTCTCCTTGCTGAGTTGGCGCCCTAGTTAGGGCGGCGTCAAGTTGTACTTGTCTTGTAGATTCACAGTTCGTGTATCGTGGCTCAGGACGGGTCCACACGTTGGGAAGCGGTTTTTATGACTTCACGTTTTGCACCGTGACGAAACGAAGTGATCACAGTAAAGCTGTACAACCTGAGTTGGCGCCCATTGGAACTCTCGTGCCATACTCTGCAGAAAACACCTTCTTTTATGGCAAACCCCTCTATGGCGCATCCCACTCCAGCCTACAAGAACACATGTAAATATGTCAATGTGTGCTTTGACATCACACCCCTATACTGGTGCAGGTAGGAAGTTATAGTTGCAGATTGGTTGTTGAACCAACATAACCTTAACCAGTACAAGCCTCAAACGAGGCTTATAAACAGTGTTATGGGATAATAAGATGGTCCGCAAGGTGGCTCACCCAAATGGCCCACCCAAATTGTTACGATATTGAATAGTTGAATAAACATTCCTGAGTAACAAATCCTTAACGCGAAGATGACTGCAGCGAGGACGAAAGGCCAAGCGACGAGACAGTTATCGAGACAGTTAAAAGCAGGAAGAATTTGAAGTGCAAAGCGCGGGAAAACTTCAAACGGTTACCGGACCGCGTACGGTTACTGAACCGCACGGTTGCAATTCTGCATCTAGATTAGCCCTAAGGGGAATGTACCCCCTCAGAGTACATGGCTAGCTAGGACCTTTCATATTCCGCTGTATTCTTATATAAACCCCTGTACCGCATTGTATTAGTCACTTCTGTCGAGATTCAAATCTCCTTCTACTGACAGAGTCCGTACCCGACATTACCTAGCAAACTTCCGCTGCTACACTCCGTGCGATCAACCTGAGACGATCCTATAAGACGGTTCAGATTTCATCATGGTATGAGAGCCACTCAGGATTCTTCGCACCACCACCTTTGATTCAAATTCAAATTCAAGGTGGCGTTCGGTACGCGCTCCCGCCGAAATATGGCTGGAGGATCCGGCGGACAAGCGGCTAACACTGCAGAAGCCCCCGCCAACCCTACTGCGAACTCCGCAGGAACTACCACCGTCAGCAATGCGCTACTGGAGCAACTCATCCAGCAGATTTCTACGCTGTAATCAGGAATTCAACAACTGAAGAGCGGCAACCCCGAAACCGCTCAGCAACCCGAACAACCGGCCGCTCCAACCAAGGAACCGAGCCCAACCACCTTCAATCTCGGGTCAAACTCTTCTGCTCCAACTGTCCCCCGTCCAAGTGACGAAGCCGTACTCGCAGCTCAGAACACGTTTCTGACTATCTCCAAGATTCGAACCAGCACCGTGTTTAGCGAGCGTGATTTTTACACCTGGAGTTTCGAGCTCGAGCTACTCCTACAAAACGCGCAAATTTTCTGCTACTTTGACGGAAGCTACGCTGGACCTACCAGCGACACCGACGACGCAAAGACTCAGTATTACAACGAGTCACTCATGGCGTATAGCGTCCTTCTTCGCAACATGGCGCCGACCGAACAACTCGGCATTCGACCCTACAAAACACACCAGGCTCCCGCCATGGCCGCCTGGAGCTACCTCAACAAAACTTACCAGCCCAAAGATTCTGTATCTTCCAGCCGCTTGCTCCAGCAACTCATAGAAATCAAGGTGGCACCTGGCAAGAAAGCAAACTCATACATCAACCGCTGCCGAAGCGTCCGCGACCAACTCTTGAAGCTCGGAAACACAATCTCCGAGGACATGTTTGTCACCATCGTGCTTCGAGGGCTGGGACCGCACTGGAATCCCTGCAAGGCTCTGCTTCGCCAACAGGGCATAATCTCCGAGGCGCACCTCTGCGCTACTCTGCTGCACGAGCAGCGAGGCATGGATTTCAACCAAGAAAAGGGGGCGCGCCGCGAACAAATCGCCTTCTATTCTAATCGCGACCAACGGAGGAATCGCGACACACGGCCACGACAATACTACTGCAAAAACTGCAAAGCCTTCGGTCACTCCACCGAACGCTGCCGATCCGGACCACGACACGATTCCGCGCCGCGCAACAACTCTGCCTACGGTCCCGATCCCATGCGCCAGGCAAACCGAACGTCTTCGGACCATCGGTCTGCCCCACGCCAGCCGCCACAACCTGACATTCAGCGCGCACCGCAGAACAACAACAACATTCGACATGTCATGGGCAACATGGTGATGCGCATTCCCCGCCGCACCCGTCGCACAAATCGACGACATCTGCGATATGTCTCTCCTCCACCGCCAGGAGACGAAGTTCAATTCAACGGCTACAACAACCCATTTACGCAGGATGAAGAATTCGTCTCCGACGAACACGAACAAGATTGGGATTTGCCGGTCCCTCTGCTCGAGTCGCCGCCACATGACGAAGGTTTTCTCAACTCGCCATCAATCACTAGCTACTTCTACGGACACAACATCGACACTCGCCCTGTCGACAACTATCGCTACGCTGGCGATAAGCGCATTCCGTTCTGCAACACGCCAAATTTGGCGCTCTCGGCCCAACATCGCACCAACTCCTACAACACTTGGTACCTTGACAGCTGCTGCGGGCAGCACATGGTGGGCTCCAAGCGCTACATCTCCAACGCTAGTGCCATCCCGCAACCCACCGTCGTCACAGTGGCCAACAATCAGCGGCTCCAAGCACGAGCATGCGGCGTCGTCGTCCTCAAGGCACATGACAGCGACATCCACATCACGCTCAACGACGTCCTCATCGTACGGGACCTGCAGTACAACCTTCTCTCCTACGACCAACTCGTGTAAGCGGAGTTCTCATGGCAACTGACTTAGAGACACGGAACATCCTCATGCACTGGAAAGACTACAGCAAACCGAACAGTACACCACGATACATTGGCAGGGCCCATTCCGAAGACGGCGTCTACATCCTTGATTTCGACATCCCAGACTGCAGCGCCGACTCAGGAGACCTCATCGATCTGCAACCACAGAACATCGTATGGTCACGCAAGCCCAAACACCCAGACGGCCGCCCTTGGATCAAACATCACGCTCACCCAAGAGAAATCGACCTCCACGCACCTGGACCTGACGGCCTCTGCCGCAACTGCCGCACCCCAACAGCCTCCACGACAGACAGAACAGACAGGACTCCAACAC